ATATATATATATATATAATATTGGTTCATACAATTCAACTAATGATTTACGGGTTCAACCAATAGCTTACTAATTTAATATCTCATCTATGTCGATAATTGGTTTGATTAGATGTGTACGATTGAAAGGTCTCTACATGTTACAAACTCAACAACTAAGTAGCAAAAAAACATAAATCTAATTACTATAAACATCATAAAAACAAAGTAAAAGGAAGAGTTAGAATTAAAATAATAATAAAAAAGTTTCAACATACCTTGAGATGGACTAAGCTAAAAAATTTTAAAATAACTTGAAGGCCATACTTATATGTTGGAGAAACAATCATGAACCACTCACATGCCAAATAAAACTCTCAAATGTGTGTAAGGTCAAGAAGAAAACACAAAAACCAATAAGAATGAATTGTTTATTTAAAATAATAAGAAAATAACTAACTTCCTTAAAAAAGATGGAACAAAATATCAGTTTAGGATCTATGATACGATATGATAGAATATAATAATTATCTTAATTTATTAAAATTCATTATTTGTTATACTAACAAGATATATTCTTATTTATCACATATCATATCTTGTTGGTTTCCTGTTTTATTTATCCCGAGAGGAAAAAGATAGGAAGCAACATAAATTTTATTATTTGAACATAATTAATATCATAATTTTAAAATTTGAATTGATAGTTGACATGGTAGGGATATTGGGCCAATGAATCATTGATCAAACTAATAAGACACTAATTGAATTGCATAAATTAGAATAAATAAAATTTAATTTAATTTTAGTGTATATATATACATTTAGAATTGTATGGTTTAGTGGTTAAATCAATTGTCCAATTATATTTTAATAAAAAAATTTAACTTTTTATCTATGGCTGGGGGGGTTCTTTTTTAATGCAAGATACCAAATTTTTTACACATACTAATAATTTTATTAAAGTGAGGTGATGCATTTACCTATCCTCACTTACATGTGGGTCCGCCATAAAATCCTTCAGTGGGGTTTCGTAAAATTCTATATACACATACACATTTATCCAACCGTAAACATAAATATTAAGTTGTTGGTCAAACAACTACTATATACAAATTGTCTTAGAATAGCTCCAAACAAAACATCAACATCTCTAGCATGGCCTCCTACCTAATTTTGCTCTACTCCCATAAGAATATGATCATCCTAGTCTAATGTAAGGGCAAACTTGTAAGTAATAAATAATCATAATATAAAAGTAGATAATGCTAAATTTCATCACCACAACACAATTATGGTCTAATGCCTAATTCAACAATCCAAAATGACTTTTCAACACAACTTCTCAGCATAACATACATATCATCATCTCAATTTACAACACAACTATAAGCAACACAACAACTTACAACTCAGTAACTCAATTACACAACAACTTTATGCATCGTCGCCTATTTCAACTAAGATAACTTTTTACAACACATGTGAGTAGTCTAAGTGGATTGATCTTACAAAATCACAACACCTGATCCCTAAATAGGAAATCAAGTTAGCACAACAAATGACATACAAATGCCTAAAAACTGCTACATTGATTTCTAGAATTTTATCACTTAGATTAGGAAAATTTAGTACAACTGTCAAGAGTATAACAAGTTGGGTATGAACATATCACGACATTAGTATTCATCAACTAAATCAATATAAAATTAACACATCGACTACCCTTCAAATACTATGCATTTTTCCATCGATCAATTAAGAATTTTACCCGACTTCATTCCTTACTCAATTTGGTCATTCTAAGCTAGTATATCTCAATTTGTTAAAAATAGACACTACAAAAAGTCAAGAATCTAAAAAATGACAATTTTTTTACCAGAATTAAAACAAGATAAAATATTATTTGCATAAACTTAAAACATATAAACTTAAATGAAATATTGAGTTAAATAAGAAGTTAAAATAAATCATAAAAATGATCGATAACCAATAAAAAAGTTTATTTTAAAACAATTTATTTATTATTAATATTATTATCTTTATTATATTTTTTTTTTAAATTTAAATTTTTTAAAAATATAAAAAAATGTTTTTATTGATAGGATCAAATTAGTGATTTTAAATTTAATAATTATATTTATTTAAAAATTATGAATTTTTTTTAACATAATTAACTAGTTTATAGGATGGAATTGATGGTAATTTGTTATAATTGATGGATATGATTCTTATTTATCTTTTATATGTAAAAATAGAGTACATACTTATTTAATAATTTATTTATATTATGTAATATATGAAAAGACATTAATTTTCAATAATTTATAATTTCAATTATAATCAAACTATTAAATTATTGATTTGAATAATTTTCTATTTTGAATCTGGTTTATCTTTCAAAATAATAAAAAAATGTTTCTCAAATACATATCTTATTTACACATCATATAAAAAAATACTTAAACTAAAATAAATGTGATATTGGTGTAAAAAGAAAAATAAATGTGACTTTTATATAGATTATAGTGATATATGTGTTATTCAATTTATATTGTTTCATTCATTTACTCACTTAATTTTGTTTCCAAAATTTTTGTAAGATGATAAATTAATTTTTATTTGAATAGTTTTAATAAAATAATATCAGATATTTTAATTAAAATAATTTTTATCTAATTTTTATAAGTTAATTCTTCTATAAAGAATTTTCTAATTCAATAATATAAGCATTGTAAATTAATTTTTATAACTATGTTGTAAAATAAATGTATTTAGTTACCTTCAAATTTTCTTATTAGTAAATAAATTTATATCTGATTAATATTTGTTGAATTCATATTTAATTAAGTTTATTATTGTAGAAATTAAAAAATTATTAATATTTTTTTAAACCTATGAATAACATATCTTTTTTATGATTTACCAGTGCATCGCATAGGTGATGCTCTAGCTCTCTGGTTATATTAATAAGAAAAAGACACTTCATAAAAATAAAAAAAAATTAGTTTTTAAAAAAAACTGAGTGATTGTTTTTATTTTATACTTAAATATAAATTAGTAAAAAGAATACAATATAAGCATATAATTATTTTTTAAAATAAAGACACTAAAATAAATTCTCTTTATATATTTTTATAAATATATTATTAGTATTAACATTAGTATATAGTTTACTATAAACTTACTTAACATTTATTTTGATGTAGATTTATCAGTTAGCTTTGTATTAAATAGAAATATAAATTTTAGGATAAAGTTCAACAGTCAAAAACAGTATACTCATTTAATCAAATGAATAACAAATCTTACATAATTGACATAATAAGAAAAGGTAAGATAAAGTTCAACAATAAAGAATTAAATATCTTTATCTAAAGAATCACATCGCACGCAGTTGCACAATGGACTCAGTAAAATAAAAAGTTAAAACCTTAACTATAACACAATCAAAAGAAGAACAATATAAAGACCAAAAAATATAAAACAACCTGTTTCACCAAATAAAACATCTTGGTTGATTATAGTAAGGGACGATAGACTATAGAAGATAATTCAGGAGTTATACACTAAAAATTTTTTACTTGATTGAGTTGGATAAATTAAATTAGTTAATGTATTATTTTGTCCGTAAAATTTTTGATTTCTTTTTTATTTAGAAGAATTATAATAAAATTAAAGGGACATTTGATATAAGGAAAATTTTTATTTTTTCAAGTTTTATATTAAAAATGTCAGTTTTTCACGTTTAATTTATTATTTAAAAATAAATATTATTTTTTATCAAAATATTTTGATTAAGAAATGAGAAACTAATGTTTTTAAAATAAAAACAAAATTATAATATAATAAAAATATCATATTATATTTATTTGTTTATATAATATAATAAAAATTATTTATTTTAAAATAATATTTAAAAATATTTTCATAAATATTTATAACCAATCATATTTTTATGAAAATCCTAAAAATAAAGATTGGAATCATAATTTCATGATAAGAAAATTTATTATAATCAAACTTTCCCTAAAATTTAAACTTGAGATTTGCACATATTATTTCAACCTTAATTTTGATTAAAAAAATATAAAATAGGTAAAGTATAATTTTTTCTCTTTAATAAAAAATAAAAATAATATAATTCAAATCGTTTTAGATCAGTGTTTTTTTTTTTTTTTTTTTTTTCTCTCAAAATCAATCTAGTGTAATCCACCTACTCTCTTATCAAATATTATGGTTTATCTGACCCAATTTTAACACACACCTTCGTGTCTTTTTTATATAGTAATTTTCTAGTCAATTATGATATAAAATAATGGCAGTCTTAGCTAACAAAATTATTTAAGTAGTAATTATTGAAAAGCATTAACAATCATTAAATATTTAAATTAAACATAATATCGTTGTCGAGTGACAACCGGCTGTGGCAGGTTAAGTCCAATTCTCGGGTTGGTTCGTGTGGCGGCAAGGTACCAAAGTCTACAAAAAGTTAACAGGTAGATTCGGTTGCATTGATCCAATTCACTATCTATTGGGTCGTACCCTCTTCTTTAGTTTCCAAGAGCCTCTCTCTGCTTTCGCTAGTGGTACTGTCTTTGCTTTGATTCTCTCTTCTCTGTTTTGTTCGGTTTCGCGTGTAAGCTCCTCTGTTTTTCTTTCTCCTTTCCAAGGTTTTTCTGTTCTTCAATAATTTCCTTTTTTTATGTCCCTTTTTGTTTTGGGGATGAAATTTTTTCCGGCTTCAATTTGTGTTTAGGAGATGAGAAATTCAAAGTTTTTGATTTTTTTTTTTTTGGATTTATTGTTTTGACGAGTTGAAAAATAAAGGGTCGGTTGGGAGAAGAAGATTGCATGTTATTTTATACTTTCAGACTTTTCAATTTTGTTCTCACTCTATTAATTTGTATTTGTTCACTGTGGCCACAACGCATGGCAAGGGAAAGGATGTATATTCTATATATTTTTTTTACTTAAAGATGTATATACTACTATGATATATGATTTGAGGATTTTGCATGCGCATGTTTTTGATAGTTGATTGCTGTATATATTTTTTATATATACATAGTTTACACAATTACATGCATGCGCAAATGAATTTAATGTTTATGCGTGTGTCTCTGAGTTATACTGTTGCTATAAAATCACTAACATGCATTTTATAAGGTTGACTGGAAGGCATACATGCAACATTTGGTCAGCATCAGTTAACCTAGTATTTTGTGTGTGCATGTGTGATTTATACTGTTGCTACAAAATTTCAAACATTTGAATTTTTATAAGGTGGATTTTTTGGTCACCATCAGTTAACCTAATATTTTGTGTGTGCATGTGTGATTTGTGTTGTTGCTACAAAGTTTCAAACTAATGATTTTTTATAAGGGGGATTTCTAGGTTTGCATGTAATATTTGGTGAGTCTCAGTTAACTTCATAGTTGGTTGCATCTATTTTATCCTGATTTTATTGGGGATCTTGATTTATGTATTAAGCTAATTTTATTATTTAACTGTTTGAAATTTTATCCATCTTTAGTCTCTTTTTATTGAAAATTTTTCATACCCTTGTTTTTATTGTTGTAGATTGTTTTGTCACAGGAACTTAAAAAAATGAAGAATGCAAAGGGTAAGGGAGCAGCGAAGACTTCAAAAGAAGCTCTGAAGCCTGTTGATGACCGGTTAGTTCTCAAGTTCCTGTACCATTACAGTTTGGTGAAATTTATTTAGACATTTTGATTTTTCATATAACTTTGCATCTCTTTGTACCATTACAGTTTGGTGAAGTTTATTGAGGCATTTTGATTTTTCATATAACTTTGCATCTCTTTGTTGATCAGGGTGTTGGCTTTCGGGTGCATTTTTTAATATCTAAACATTATATTATTATCTGATTATGCATATTTGATGGTGCATCCAGTTGTTACATGAATAGTGTAGTGATGGAACATATATCTCTATTGCTTTCAGAAAGGTTGGAAAGCGGAAGGCTCCTGCTAAGCCTGAAAGGAGTAGAGCACCAAAGGCAAAGAAGGAGAAGGCTAAGAAAGACCCCAACAAGCCTAAGAGACCATCCAGTGCTTTCTTTGTGTTCCTGTTTGTATCTGTCTTTTCTCTTTACTTTATTATATATCTCCTTTGGAAAATTACATGACTTGTTTCATGGTCTGTGGTAGTGAGGA